CCACACTGCAGGTCAAAAACAACTTGGAAGTGAGCTGGAACAAGTAAGCAGTGAACTTAAATAAGCTAATGTATTTTAGTAAGTTCATAGTTGATTTGCCACATGCAGACTGAAGCCTATTTTGTTTGGCTTGTACATTGCTTTACAAAACCAAAAGGCTTAAAAATTAGATCTGACAGTGACCTCATCACCTATCCTTGTGCAGTCAACTGAAGCTGAGCTGCAACTGTATCTCGCAGCCAGGCAACCATGTGCAGTTTGCCTTGGCTTTTTCATGCATGGTACAGCTGGACAGGAGACCCATAGATTTTACCTGCTTTCAGAGAATAGGTCCAGAGGAAACTGAATCTGTTTTTTTCCTTACTGGAAAAAAACTACTAATGGAGATCCCCTATCTGGATCTGACAAATGAGATTAAAATCATAGCTTGTGTTTAATACCAGTTTTCTGATGATCTGATTCTTGAACTAGTTTGGTCATGTCTGTCTCTGAACATGAGGTGAAATAGTTCTGGTAGCGCTCTTAGGCTGTGTGTCTCTTTGTACTGAATTCATTATCTGCAGTAGGAAATCAAGTCCCCATCAAATTGGTAGATTATTATTAATTTTAAAGCTCTTATTTCAGAGTTAAAAAAGTTGCTTAGGATTTCCAATTAAATGACTAAGAATTTTAACATCTATTATGAAAAAAGGAGGCATTAAAAGCCCATTATTTATTTACTACATTTTAGTTTTGTGTGTCATTTGTGGGCACTCATGTACCACAGTGCATAGATGGGGGTTAGAGAACAACTTGTGGGAGCTGGTTCTTTCCTTTCACTTTGTGGGTTCTGGATCAGGGATCAAACTCAGGTCATCAGCCTTTTCCCACTGAGTCTTCTTGCCAGCCCCAGTTAGCTTTATTTTTAGACAGGATCTTCCTGTAGCCACAGCTGGACTGGAACTCACAGAAATCCACCTGGCTCAGCCTCCTGAGTACTTGGATTAAAAGTGTGTACCACCATGCCTGACTCCAGGGAACCATTTTAAAAAATTACCTTCTTTAAAACTTTGGGAGCTTGTTAAACTGATGCTCTACAATGGCATTATTTGAAGGAAAAACTAATGAGAAATATTATTAATCTGTTTTCTGTTATGCAGAGATGTAGCTTTTTGGTGCCCTATCAATAAAATATGAGATATATTTCAGTAGTTTAATAATGAAGGGCTTTGTAATATTGCAGTTCCAAAAATCTCTGGTAGAGGAGGGACAAATGAATGCTTTCACCAGCTAGTAAACAAGAGTTCTCTGGGGTCTGCTTCTTTAGGGTCCTATGCCCTTGGGTTTTACAGACTCAAAAATGCCACAAGGGAACTGATTATAATTCCTTTCCCTGGAGGTCCATTGGGTAGGTGTGTACAGGGAGGTTATCTGGTGTACCTGCTCCAATTTTCAGTTCCTTTTTCCTGATGACCACAGTTAAGACTAGCAAATAATTGTGTTGTTATTCTTTCAGTTACTGTTTTCCGTGGTATGTTTTGAGGTAGATTTTGGCATTTACTTTTATCATGTGCTTTATTCATTATTAATGTTATTTTCAGTGTTTACAAAATGGATTAATTTATAAAAGAAACATTATGGTTAATTAAAGGTAAATCCTTTTGTGAATGGAATGCCCTGTTTATTGACATTCTTGAGTAAACCTTTAAGGTTTTAAGTCTTTGATTTTTTTCAAAATAGAAAGTGTGAATAGGGGAGACCTTTTAACTTGCAAGTTGGAATTGAGGCACATTTTGCAATTTATTATATACAGAAAGCCTTACCTAAGCATTTGAAAAACATCACACATCTCACCAATATTTGTATGAAGTCAATCCATTGCCCTCCACATTTTCCATTATTATTAGTGTTGTGGTTTGAATGTGAAATGTCCCCCATAGGTTGTTTTGGAAGGCTATGAACCCTTTAGTAGGTGGAGCCTTACTGAAGGAAGTGAGTCACTGGGTGTTGGCCTTGAGGTTGTATATAGCCTTGCCCCACTCCTTCCTCTCTACTTCCTGAGTGCACAGGTTTTGTGACCATCTCTGCCTCATGCTCCTGCTGCCCATGTCTCCTCTGCAAAGATAGCCCACATCCCTTCTTAAACTGGAATCCCAAAGAAACCTTTCCTCCTAAGTTGATTGTTACCAGATATTTGCCCCAGTAATGATAAATCTAACTATTATACTTAGATAGACTTTGCCTTTTGTATTTTGTAGGAATGGGCACTTTTATTGTTAGAACTTTTTATTCTCATCCTTAGCTCCTATTGATTTCCTGATCTTTTGTTATGAAAAGACACTTGTATTTTGCTTATTGATTGGATTTACTTAGGAGTGTGTGTTGGTGAAGTATCAAGCTGATGAGGAAATTAATTTGTATAAATATTGGATTTTGTGAGATCATATGCTCACAAATAAGTTGTTGTTTGATAAATAAAATGGCATATATAACAATGGAAAGACTGCTGCGATGGAAATTAGGGGGCATTTTTGGTTTCAATTTTATATCAACTAAGTTTATATTTGGGGGCAAGTTTAAGTAACATCTCTAAGATTCTTCCTCATCTGTAAAATTGGATATGTGAACTTTGATTATATTTAAAGATTTATTTCAGTTTGATAGGCTATAGTGCTTTAGTTTGAAAGGCTTGCTTTTCTAGATAACAAATCAGTATTCTACTAGTCATTGCCTATTATGTCCCTATGTGCAGGAGGTTGTAAAGTTGTGATTTTGCAATCTCTCAATCAGTATTCAATATGTCACCCATTTCCCTTTTGTACTATTGGTGATTTTTGTTTTTTTGAGACAGGGTCTCCCTGTAGCCCCAGCTGACCTGAACTCACTATGTAGACCAGGCTGGCCTTGAACTCACAGAGATCCACCTGCCTCTGCCTCCCAAGTGCTGGGACTAAAGGCGAGTGGCACACCCAGCAGTGTTCTATTGCTTTTAACTTTGGGCTCAGCCTAGACTTACCTCTTTTTTCCTCATTCTCCAGCCAGAATGTTTGAGGATGCTGTCTCTAGAATGTGTTTCACACCTTCTCTCCTCTATGCTTTGGCTTGTAACATTCCATTTTCCTGTCCCCAAGCTGCCTTCATCTACCTTAACAATTCATTTGTAATTATTTTGGCCTTGTAGGATAGCTGTCTATTATGTTAAGTTGTGTAGGACACAGTGAACTTCTTGAAGGACAATGCATAATTTTCATCATTTTACTAATCTTATTTTTGATTCACTTCTCATATAATAGGCCTTAATTAATATTTATAGAAGTTAATTTAGATGATAATTAATTAGAATTTTAGATAAACCTAATAGCAACAAGCAGAGGAAAAAAATAAAAAGGAAATTACCTATTTTGATTTAAGCATTGTTTTAAATATCTAAGTTCACTCTGCACTGCTGCACTCCATAGTCCCTTGTACACTATTGTTCCTGCCTGTTCACTCTGAGTGGCTTATTTATATACGTAAGACCTCTGTTTTCTCTCTGTTACACTTTTAACTACTTGCTTTTATTCATCATTATAGTTTAGGACTGCCATGGTCTTAAGAATTAGTAGCACCTAGTGCTTTAATTTATATACTATACACTTGCCTTTTAGCTCCTTAGTTCCTGCCACAGGCGTATTGTCTTTAATCTTCTGGTGCTCTTCTGTTTTGTTTTTTGATGTTGGGGCTTCCTCCTCCTCCACCTCTTTCTTTTTTTCTTTTGTTTCGCATTTGTGTTTTTGAGTTAGTAGCTAGCTTTTAATTCTGACTAGCCTGGAGCTTACTATATAAACCAGACTGCTTAAACTGGTGGCATCTTCCTACCTCTGCCTCCTGAGTGCTGGGATTACAGGTGTGTGCCATTATGCCAGCAGACTTGTTGCTTCTTAAAGGCATGTTCTTTCTGGTTTCTGAATCAGATTTACATTGAGAACGGGTGAGATGGCTCAGTGGGTAAAGGCACTTGCTGTGCAAGCCTGGCTACCTGAGTTTGATCCCTGGAGCCCATGTAAAGTTGGGAGGAGAGAAACAATTCTACAAATTGTCCTTAGCTCTCTACACACTCTGTAGCACACACATATATACAAATACATAAAAAGAATTTACATTGATAAATGTCTTAGAATAAGTATGGTATTGGAGGTTAATGACCCATCAAAAATGAGCTTCTGAGACTAGATGTTAGACCAGATCTCGTAGACTAGGAGTATGTAGGCAGTGATGATAAATGGATGGTAGTATTAGTTCTTTGGTTAAACAACTTGATGCTGATTGCCAAATATTTGAGATGCTAGTGGACATTTTTACAAGTGTTTTATACTTGAATTATAGAATTTATACAAAGATTTCAAAATGCTCATGTTGTGTATGGCTAGATGGTTAATCTGACATAAGATTGGTTTGGATTGAATAAATGAACAGAAGGATGAAACAATGAGTTAAAACAAAGCAGAAAAGGAAACGGAAATGATGTGCTGTAAAAGGTTATGTTTCCTCATGTACCATAGAACCAGTGGCATTTACTAAAGGGTTCTTGAGAACATTATATTAGAGAAATGATATGAGAAGATAAGGTGAGAAAGTAACCAAGAGAAGATTTCCGTTCAACTGAATTTAAAACTGGTTTTTAAGTCCTATTTTTGTAGTGCATCTCAACTTCTTTCAGGAGTTGACTACATTACCAAATATTTATTAAGTCAGGTATTATATTTATGTGATTGCAAAGAATAGCTCATGTATTCCTTAAGAGATATTGACATTTAAATAGCTTTTCTCAGAAAGGATATGAACAATTTTATTGACACAATTTCCCATTAAGTCCTCAGAGAAAAATGTGATTTGTTCGTTCTATAAGAATAGTAAGCAAACTAGATTTTTTAATTCTTTTCCTAATATTTGTAGTAAAAAACAAAATTTTATGTTTTTAAATTTTAATTTACCATTGATTGAGTTTAGATACTATTAAACTTTTTATTTTATTTTAACAGGTATCTTTCAGATGAAGGCATTGAAGCTTGTACAAGTTCTTGTGACAAAGTCAACATAAATGACATCATCCTGATTGCTCTCAATGTAGGTTAAGTTTATTAACTTACGAAAAAATTTTAATTTAAAACTATACTAATGAAAACTGCCTCAGAAGCTGGTTTTATGATAAATAATATAGAGAATATTTTAAATTTTTGTCCTTTTTAAGCTATGGAGGTGTTAGTCGAATTTAGTAATCTATTAGCCAGTTGTAAACATATGTTATGCAGAATGCAATGAAAAAGAGAAAAAGTTCAATCAGTGCTTACTTTTTCCTACCTAGTATTATCTATAAAATTTATAGTAGTTTTAGTAGCTGTTTGATTATAAAAACTGCTAATTCCTTAAAACAGTTTTCCATTTAATTTGCATGGAAACTTTTCAGGTGTATTTATTGTTTTAAAATTACTTTTCCTGATGGTAAAAGTAATAGTTACTGTAGAACATTTCAGAGAGGTAAAATAAAGACAACTAAATCTATAATTACTCTTAAAGTCTTAGTATCTTGATATGTTTTTCATTCCAACTTTCTTTTTTCAACTAACTCTGCAACTATAACTATATTTTTTCTGTAATTAGATTGGACTTTTTCAATTTAAAAAAAAAATTTATTATTTTTATTTTTATGTGTATGAGTGTATTTCCTGTATGTATGTAAGTGTACCTGTGTCATGCAGTACCTACAGAGGTCAGAAGAAAGCATTGGATTTCCTGGAATTGGTATTACAGATGGTTGCTAGCCACTATGTGGATGATGGGAACTGAACCTGAATCCTCTGCAAGAGCAGCCAGTGCTCTTAACTATTGAGCTGGACTTTTTTTAAAGTTTTAAAAACTGGAATAAAAATGTAAATAAACAAGTGTGTTTTGTTTGTTTTTTCTTTCAGTTCTGTAGTTATCCCTCTGGTATTTCTTTTTCCATGTTACCTTAGAATAACATGATCAGTGATCAGTGAAATTCATGAAAGAACAATTGCTGTCTAGAACTACTGTTATATTGGAAAGCAGTAGTGGTAGTAAGAATATTTATTATTTTTAATGTATATTTTTATTGAGTTTTTGTGTATTTCATGTTAGATTTTAATCAAATTATCAAATTTAGACCCCCTGCCCCATCCATGCCCCCTCAGTGCCCCTCCCTGATTTCATGCATTCTGTCATGTATGTTCAGTCCTATCCAGTCAAGCATTTGTACCCAGATTTCCTCAGTACAAGTTCATCTACTGATTTCTAGTAAGCCTATCTAAGTTAACTCCCTTAAAGAAAATCTTCTCTCCCTCACCACAGTAATTAGTTGTCAATAGTTCTTTGGCTAAGGCTGGGGTCTGCTGCTCATTTCCCCATTTTTATGCTGGGTTTTTGTATGCGTGAGGCAGCATGGGTCTTGTGCATACTGTACCCTTGTTGCAGGTTCATATGCACAAGTTCCCAGAGATCTGGGAACCCAAAACCCTCTGTTTCTTTATATGTTCATGCACCAACTCTGGCTCTTACAACCTTCCTGCCTCCTCTTCTGCAATGAGCTACAGGTGGATGAGGTTTAATATAAGAGTCCTATCCAGGAACACACACTCTGTAGTCTCTTATTCTCTAAAACTTGGCCAGTTGTGGTCTTTGTGCATTGCACTCTGAGGAAGCTTCATTGGTAAGAGTTGAGGAATGTGTTAGTATTCACCCCACCCCCCATATGTGGAATAAACATGCCTGTACATGCGTGTGCACGTACACACACGTGTCACACACACATACACGTGCACTCACATACAGTAATTGCAAGTTTAAATGCTCTCGGACACAGCCATTACTCCTGATATAATGGCATGTGAATAATAAAATTGCTTTTGTTGTACTTAAAAATTGACTTTCAATTTAGGATGTTTAGAGATTTGGAATTCCATTTTCATCATGGTAAAGACACAGTGAAAACATTCCATATATGTTTGTATAACACATTAAAATTATGTAAAGTTTGATTGTATTAGTTTTAGTGTGACAATAACTATGAAATAAGCTTGGTGGCATTTTTTTCCATTTTATAATTAGCTGATTTTAGAAAATTTGTGAGTGTCAAGGTCATATGACTAGTTGTATTTAGTTAATTATTACTAACTTAGTTGGTTATAGTTGGAATGGATGAAGACTTAGGATTTCTGTCTAGTGCTCATTTATTTAGCTTGAATCCTCATTTTAGTTTTAATGAAGTTTTATGATTATTGATAAAAACTAGAAATGAAGACTATGATGTATCTTAACATTTGCAAATACTGTATTTCTTATTTATAATTGTTTCTCTCAGAGTGGTTTCAGAGAAATGCCTCTACTTTTATAAACTGCTTCACTGACTCATGATTATGTAGGTTCAGATAGTAACATTGTGCATATGTCTTATATGCATAGCTAAGCATGGTGACTAACATTCATTGAGCACTGCTTTATGTAGTCATTGTGCCAAATGCTCAGACTTGTTTATATTAGATCTTCAAATGATACTGTAGAGGGGATGCTAATATATGGAAGTATTTTTTTAAATATTTTATTATTTTAATTTTCTGTGTATGAGTGTATTGCCTGCATGTATGTGAGTGCACCCATGTCATGCAATGCCGCAGAGGTCAGAAGAGGGCTTCAGATTCCCCTGGACCTGGAGTTAAGGATGGTTCATAGCCTCCATGTGGGTGCTGGAAATTGAACCTGGGTCCTCTGCAAGAGCAGTCAGGGCTTTTAACCACTGAGCCATCTCTCCAGCCCCGGAAGTCTTTTTTTAAATCCTTATGCTATTCAGCATTTTCAAAATGGGCAAGCATATAACCTGAAGTCCAGCTGATAATTCTTTAACTCCTACTACTAGGGTTGAGGCTGCAAAAAACCCCGTAAAAACATTTTTGCATCTGCACGGGGTATTAGGGCCTTAGGTTGTTTGACAATTCCGTTTGGTGAGCTTTAACTTAGGGGTGATCCTTGTTAATACACTGAGAAATTAGGAATCATAATAGTAAAATACCAGAAAGGGTCTATGGGATTATATAACTCATAGGTTTCATAAGCCAAGTGCATGTGGTTATGTCATATAGGTTATACTTTTGTACGGGTTCAAAGAACATTGTCTTGCCTCTCTAAATATATTAATTTCATACATAGTAATTCTCATATTTTAGTGTTTTCTCCTTAGGTCTAACAAAAATTTTCTCTTGTAATTTGTGATTAATACGCACCCTTTTATTTTCTTCATAAGATGATAAATACCTATTATTTACTGTATTTTAAGGGATAATGAAACAGTAGAAATTATTACTCTAATCTCACTATCTCAGACATGTAGATAATTTCTTAGGTTAAATAGGTCCTTTTCATGAGTGTTGATAGTTCTGCTCTGAACAAATTTTTTGCCATTCCTTGTGTATACAGTCTGGACTTGAGGATATCATATCTCAGTGCTTGAGTGCATGCTGCTCTTGTAGAGTACCTGCGTTCAGTTCCCAGCACCCACATCAGGAGGCTCACAGCTACCTGTAACACCAGCAGATCCACTACCTTCTTCTGGCCTCTGCAGGGTACCAGTGCTCATGTGCTTATACCTACATACAGACATGCACACTTATACATAATTGAAACTAAAATATTTTTTTAAAAAATACACATTCCTTAAAAATTCTGTTATTTTTTTTGGGGGGGGAGTTTTTTTGGGACAGGGTCTTCCTGGCCTGGAACTCACTATGTAGACCAGGCTGGCCTTGAACTCAGAGATCTTCCTGCCTCTGCCCCCCAAGTGCTGAGATTAAAGGCATGTGCCACCATGCCTGACAAAAATTCTGTTTTTTTAAAATGTGGATTGTGTAGTTGGTTTTCTTTTTATGTAAAAAATACCATAACCATAGTAAATTTAGTGTCTGTATTTTCCTTCCTGAATTATACATATTTCTGCATTTTCCTAGTCACATGTTCACCAATTTCTATTTCCGTATAAGCAAATGAAATAATTCCTTATTATAGTAAGGTGTTATTTTACTGTTCCAGTGGTACTGTCCTTCCTGGATTGCTTGTGAGTAGCTTTACTATGTTATAAATAGCATAACTGATAAGGTATGTTTTCATATCTCTGGTTATTGAGATTTTATGGGATTTAGTTGTTAAAGTATGTACTTAGTGTTTATTATATTCCAAAGCTTTAGTTTGATTTGGGATTATGGCATTAATTTTTAGTAAGACCATTTTGTATACAAAATTAAATTTTGGATTTTAATAGAGAAGAGTAAGCTAAAAGGTTACTTGGAGAAATATGCTTCTGTATGTTGCTATATTTTACTGACACTTTAAACAACTTAAGGATGTGACTAAATGACTTGAAACTATTGACTGTCTTTATAGATCTTATAAGTAGTTTAAGATGTTTAATTTTTGTTCTACGAATCTTAAGTAATTTCATCTTTTGCTCATAAGATTGAATTTTGAATTTTCTATAATTCCATTTTAATAATAAAAATCTTATTTTAGACAGATTTGAGAACAATTGGCAAGAAATTCCTTCCCAGTGACATCAATGGTGGAAAGGTAGAAAAGGTAAATTCTTCACTTCCTGAATTTTGCCAACTATAATACAAATAGGAATGTGTACTAGGTGACTAGAATAAGAGGCAAAAAGGATCCAAAACTGATATGGTGCCTTTTTGCAAATATAGAAAATTAATAAAAGTTGAACTTGGTGACTTTTAAGCATTAAAAACTTTGTTTAGAAATTATACATAGGTATAAGACATGCATGTAAGACTTGTCCCATTATCAAAGCACTGACGAGTACCTTTGCCTTTGTTTTTGTTTTAGTTCCCTTAACAAGCTGCTAAGTTCATCTAATAAACTTAGGAATATAAAAATATAAGATTACCAGAATATTAGGAATTTGGCAAAGATTCACATTTGGCTGTTGCTGTCATTGTGTGTTATACAGGCCTCTGTGTTATGAATCTTTCAGTGATCTCGCTTTTTAAATACAGAGATACTTTCTTGAGAGATCCAGGTAGTGGTGATATTTCCTACACATTTCTATTTAGGTTTCTTCTTTTTATTTGACAGTAAATGCAAATTGTGTCAGTAAAGAGTTTAATAAGTTCTCATAGCAGGAGAGGTCATAGACCTTAGAGACTCATAGAAACCTACAGCAGTGGTGTCAGCATGTACACGACAAACTCAAGCAGACAAAATCCCAGCATAGAAACTGGGGAAATGGGCAGTAGGCCCCAATCTTAATCAAAGAATTATTGGCACCTGATTACTGCTGGGTAAGGAAGAGATGATCTTCTTAAAGGGAAGGACTTTTTCAATGGATGAACTTGAACTGAGGGACATCTGGGACATTAACTTGACATAATAGGCTTTAACACAAATGACAGAATGTTGAATTCCAGTGAGGGGGTATGGGAGGGTGCCAGTGGGGAAGGGGGTATAAAGATGATTAAGT